GCTACTCGGGAGGCTGAGGCAGGAGAATGGCGTAAACCTGGAAGACGGAGCTTGCAGTGAGCTGAGATCCAGCCACTGCACTCCAGCCTAGGCAACAGAGCCAGACTCCATCCCAAAAAAAAAAAAAGAAAGAAAGAAAAAAAGAAAGTAAACTGGCACTGAGCAAGAAGGCTGTCTTCATTTCTTCACTTATTACCACACTGGCAAGGAAACAGTTTCACAATGCTTACAGAAATGCTCTCTGATAGTAAACTGCTCATTTTCAAAACACCTAACAACTGACCACATCATCACTAATGATTTCAATTGCCAAAAATCAACTCGTTTCTCTTGGCTTCCATTTACCTAAGGGTATGAAGACAGACACGTCAAGTGAGAGACTGCCTCTTATCTCTAGACCCAGGCAACAGGCAGTTAAAGGTTGAAGGTACTGTCAGGCCTGGGACCCAGAGATAAAATTCAGAGTATTATTTTTGAAATATTTTGTGGACAACTTGCCAGGATATACATGGGAAAAACTAGAAGGCAGAACAGGAGTGATAACATGATCCACTTTAGATTTTGGAAAACAGAAAAAACATCAAGTCCCTGGGAGAAGGAACTATGAGTGAAGTTTTAAATCTCAGAGTGGTGGTTCTCAATCCTGGCTGCACACCAGAATCACTTGTACAGACTTTTGAAATTATGAATGCCCAGGACCCAATGGTCCAATCTAGGCTTAAAGAATCAGAAAAAAGCCAGGCACAGTGGCTCATGCCTGTAACCCCAGCACGTTGGGAGGCTGAGGTAGGAGGATCACTTGAAGCCAGGAGTTTGAGACCAGACTGGGCAACATAGTGAGACCCCCATCTCTATAAAAAAAAAAAAAAAAAAAAGAGAAAAAAGAAAAAATTCCTAGGAAGCGGCCCCACACACCCATAATTTTTTTTTAAAAGTTCCTCACGAGGTCAGGAGTTTGAGATTAGCCTGGCCAACATGGTGAAACCCCATCTCTACCAAAAATACAAATATTAGGCCGGTGTGGTGGTGGACACCTGTAATCCCACTACTCAGGAGGCTGAGGTAGAAGAATTGTTTAAACCTGGGAGGCAGAGGTTAAAGTGAGCTGAGATCACGCCACTGAACTCCAGCCTGAGTGACAGAGCAAGACTGTCCTGAGGGGAAAAAAAAAAAGTTCCTGAGGAGATTCTGATGCATAGCCACCACTGAGAACAATTGCCAAGAACTACTGTCAAGACACATTCCAAAATAGACAAGACCACTAAACTCAGGATCCAGAGTCAACAAATAAATGACTTAAAAACTTAACCCAGCTTTTCAGTTGTTCCACATTTCCCTAATGGAAAGGTCTCCACCAAGTAGCAGTAGGTGTATCTCAGCCTCCCCCCATTACCAAATTAAGGGCCACAAGTTTTTCACAGTTAAATTACTTGGCATCCTCATTTCTAGCTCTAGTTCTAACAGGTGGCTCAGCCTAGAGGTCAGAATACCAGCCAGCAAGTTTCTGCTGCTGATTCATGCTGTAATCACAAGCAAGTTGCTTACCCATTGTCCAGAGTAGTTGACAAGCACCTCCAGAGGGGCAACATATGGCCTTACTACAGAATCAACTGACAACAAATTGAATCCAGCTGAAATTAGTAATTCTGAATGAAAGGAAGAGAGAGGTGGTATCAGGAATGATGCATGTGCCAGTAAGTTATCTGCTTGCTAAGTGTGGTTATACAAAGCTTATTGAAAAATACCGCCTAGGACTTCATAAAAATTTACTTGGACCAATCACTCTTAACACTGCTAAGCCTCTATTTTCTTATCTTTAAAATAGGACTAATACTCTACCATACTTCCTCATAGAATCATGAGGATTAAGAAAGAAAACTTCTGTAAAATGCCTACCATAGTGGCTGACACAGTTTTACTATGATTTGAAAGCCTATCATTAATAAATCCAAATCATTCCTGTCAAGAACACCCACTAGACTACCAACAAAGCCACATAAACCAAGGAATCCAGCCAACAGGCCCTGAAATTCTTTTAATTTCTCTAAGTGGTTTTACTGAAGGCTTCAAATCACCTCAATTTTCAAAGCCATTAAAATCTCCAGGTGCATTTACAGGTCAGAGGCATTTTTCAAGGCAGATTACCACTAGTAACCTGGTTTCTGGTACCGGAATAACAGGAAGAGTGCCAGGACAGTGCTTCATACCACCAACCTCAAAATAACTGCCTCATAATACCTGACCTTCCCTTAACCTCCCTGGCAGTTCTGTCCGCCCAGGGGGATGGGACAAGAGCCTGGTTCCTGGCCAGGGTCCACTGTCTGCCCAAAAACGGCCTACCTTCTCTCTTGCCTCTCTTTACTTTCTTTACTCCCTCTAAATGACTTTCCCCACTTCCTAACCTACCTTCTCTCCTCTGAGCTACATTCACGGGATATTTACCGCTGAATGTTCTCAGAAATACCTATTAACACTATTGGAATGAAGCTGTAGGAATATAATCAAGAAAAAGAAAGTTATATAAATGTTCGGGCAATTAGCCCAGGCAAAGAAACTGTGGTATGTGACTCTAGCCGGAAAGATCAAGAAAATCCTGGTAGCCAAATTTACCTATTTCCTGTGTACAAATGAAGGGCAAATTTAAGCCAGCCACTGGAACAAAATCTCAAGGAAATTAATCATGCAGCTAGGAAGCAAATGACCATTAATTACAGTTTACAGAATAGAAATCAAAGGGCTTTTTCCCACGAGGCAGAAAAGGGGGAGAAAAAAAGTGACTTAAATATTTGAATACTGAAAACTCTTGCTCTTTTCACCTTGACAAAAGATAAACTATCTTTTCACCTTACCCTTCTTGCTTTCCCTTCAACTTAGTACTCTGTAAATTCAAGAGGTCCTTTCAATGATTTCCAGCAGAATCCAGTATATGAAGTGTTGCAGAAATCTTTGTATGGGATTATGCAGAGCTTGAGTGTACCCTTTTGTTAGAGCAACCACCTCATCGTGAAGTCACTGCATCAGAGTTCCTCAGTATCTGTTGTAGTAGCACTGGTATTAGCTGTTACGTTCTTAAGACAGCTTAGGTTCAACTTCAAAAATCAGCCAATATCCAGAGTTTCCTAATCTTTTAATCTCCACATATTCGGCCTCTTACTTTGTTCCTAAATGCAAGCAGTGGGTTATGGCTAGTGAAGCAGCATGGATTTGGCTACAAAGCTCATCCTTCCTTGCTACGGGAACACGCACAGCAGAAGCCAGAAGAGCAGATGCTGGCAGTGGCAAACATGGTCAAGCTTTCAACATACACATTAAACAAAAAAATGAACGCTGCCTCAAGGCACACACGTGTATTCGTAAAATCTAACAAAGGTCCTTTACAAGAGTTTTCTGTTTATTTGAGATGGGCTGGAGTGCAATGGTGTGATCTTGGCTCACTGCAACCTCCGCCTCCCGGTTTCAAGGGATTCTCTTGCCTCAGCCCCCCAAGTAGCTGGGATTACAGGTGCACGCCACCAGGCTGGGCTAATTTTTTGTATTTTTAGTAGAGACGGGGCTTCACCATGTTGGCCAGGCTGGTCTCAAACTCCTGACCTCAGGTGATCCATCCGCCTCGGCCTCCCAAAGTGCTGGGATTACAGGCGTGAGCCAACGCACCCGGCCTACATGAGTTTTTACAGAACTTTTCTTGTTGTTTTGAGATGGGGTCTCGCTCTGCCACCCCAGCTAGAGTGCAGTAGAGTGATCATGACTCACTGCAACCTTGCACTTCTGGGTTCAAGTGCTCTTCCTCCTCCTCCCACCTCAGCCTCTTCACAACCAGGACTACAGGTGTGTGCCACCACGCCCAGCTCATTTATTTTTTTTGTAGGACAGGGTCTCGAACTCTTGGGCTCAAGCAATCGGCCTGCCTCAGCCTCCCAAAGTGCTGGGATTATAGCCACCCAACCCATTTGAAATGTTAACAATGACAAATATTTGCTTGGTCAAACTACTATAGAATTCTGTATCACCCTGTTGGGTAATCAGAGTTAATTCCACTTATCAACATATTCAAAGTGAAGGACATAACAGTAAAATTCCTTAAATACCTGTTTGCTGTTTTATTTTGAGTTGTCACAAGCTTTCGCCTACTGCTAAGAAATAAACCTAAGGCATTTATTGCAACTGACTGATGAATGTATGTTAGTGGCTTAAAGAGGAGCCCCAGAAAAATTGAGAATTCAGACAGTTGGAGAACCAAATCCTTAACATACAGCTGGGAATAGAGTGCAAAAATAAACTTACTTATCAATTGCTTTGAACAGACCACTCTAAATCAGTTCCAACACTGACCAAAAGGACAGGCTACCTTCTATCTTTTGAGGGATCTATGGCAAAGCTACGCATGTGCAGAACTGCAAAATCAGTCTGCATACATACCACTTCCTGACATGGCCCGAGAACCCATACTCCTAATGGTCTCACACCAGGTAAACGAGTTTGCCATATCCAGCAGGTGAACTCTGAGTGAGTTAGTAAACCTTACAATTTTTTGGTTTTTTGTTTGGTTTAAGTCAGCCTTAGCTTTGTTTTGACTTTTTAGAGATGGGGTCTGTTACCCAGGCTGGATGGTATGCAGTGTCGTGATAAAGCTCACTGCAGACTCAACTTCCTCGAGCTTAAGCAATCCTCCCACCTCACCCTTCCGAGTAGATAGGGTTACAGGTATGTGTCACCCCACTTGGCTATTTTTTTTTTTTCCTTATGGAGACGGGGTCTTACTATCTTGCACAAGCTGGTGTGAAACTCCTGGGCTCAAGCTATCCTCCCACCTCAGCCTCCCAAAGTATCTGGATTACAGGCATGAGCCACCACACCTGGTCTCACTCTTACGGTTTTTTAATCTTGACAGGTTTTAAACTGGACCTCCACATTTAGGGACTCCAAATATTTCCCTCTCTGCCACAACATCCCCACTGTCGCTGAAAACACCTTCCTCTTACTGCTAATGTAACTGAAATACAAAACAGAGCACAGATTAGTACAAACTTTGAAATAAAATGAACACTGCACTCCAGCCTCTGCCAACTCCTAACATCCTACCTGCTCAGTTTATTCCTTCTTTAAATATGAACAATTTCAGCCGGTTCCACAAGTCAGTGACTTGCACAGTGAAAACACAGGCAAAAACTTCACCTAGTCCTTGGCACATGGTAAGCCCTCAATTAAAGGTAGCTATTATCATCATCATGGTCATAATATTGAGAGACTTGATTACAGAAATAAAACCTTACCTGTTAAAGGACAATCCTACAGTCCAACATACAAAAATAGACCTTATGGGTATTTGGTGCAAAACAGACGTCAGATACCCTAAGACCTTAGTTCATTTGTTTTGTTTTTGTTATTTAATTATATTACCTCCACCTACCTTTACAAGTAAATTCGGGGCACTCACTCAAGGTCTGGCAAACTGGGACCCAAAAAGACTGAATTCATAGTCTGCGCTCTTAACCCCACAATGAATAGCCACTGAAGGATGAGTTCCTCTTCAACAGAGGAATGGATCTGGGACCAGGTTATTAAATAAGATATCTGAGTTTGAAAGATCCTTGGGCTCCACCCACCCGTCTAAACTTGAACACTATCCAATGTTAATTCAACATTAAAGGGTAGAACAACTTGGGAGTTTTAGGAGCGTGGACTGATGAGTCACACAAACCAGGTCTTAAGGCCTGCTGTGAGCCAAATACTAGCTGGTTGACCTTACCCTTTCTCATTATATGTAAAATTGGGGTAAGAACAGTACCTGCTTAATCGAGCAGTTTTGAGTGTTAATGTAAATGATCCACGTAAACCACGCAACACAGCGCTCATTAACATAACTGTAAATAATGAGAGCCATGGAAAAGGGCAGGTAGGGGCTATAATAGAAAGTGGAGCCTGTCCCAGAGTAACCCAGCAGACAAGAGAGCAACGACTCTCCCCAGCAGTAGGGGCACTCGCCCCCGCCCACTGCCGCAGGCCCGCCCTTACCGCTCTTGGGTTTAGACTCGCCGGCTGGCCCCGCCGAGGCGGAGCGGGGCGGCTGTTGCCCTTTGCTGCTGCCCGAAGAGGCGGAGGAGCTGTTGGAGCCGCTGTTCTTGTCCATGTCGGAGGCGGTGGCGGCGGCGTTGGGGGAGCTCAGCGGCATCAACGGGGGCCTCGGAGGCGACGGCGGTCGGAGCGGAGCGGGAGCGGCGGGGACCCAGGCTCATGGCGTTCAGGGCCGGCGGGGGTCGGCGGCGGCAGCGGTTCTCGGCCTTCATGGCGACATTTTTCCCTGTTTCCTTCCTTGGCTTCTCAAACTAGGAAGAGAAGCGGCGGACAGGGCTGTTAAGCCCGACGGCAGCGGCGACCGAGGACGAGGAGGAGGCCGGGGCTCGGGAGTCCGGGCCGGGCCTGGCGGGGCGGAGGCTGCGGGGGAAGGGGAGGCGAGGGAGGGTGCGCGAGCCCCGCCGGCCGGCCGGACACGCTCTCCCGCCGCGAGGCAGGGGAGAGGGCTGGCTGTCTGGTGTCGGGGACAGGCGTCTCCGACACAGCGACGGATACTCGCCCCTGGGCCGAGGCCGAGCTGCTCCGGGAATGGCGACGAGTCGCCAAACAGCATCGTGAAGAACCCGGATGAACTCTATATATAGTGGAGAGGGGTGCGGTATTCTGGGAAATGTAGTTTTTGCCTACATCCGGGTCTCGTGGGGTTTTTTAACATTTCCTCCCCCACCTCCGTCCCAACCCCACTATGAGGGCTTTCCAAATAATGGGACTTGCATTTGCTCCAAGTCCAGGTTTTTCACTTAATACACTAAAAATACAGTAACAATAATAATATACCCTAATAATAATGTAGCCAAACATTAGAATACCTGTGGAACTCCTTTATAGACTCATTTGAATTATGGTTCTTTTTTTTTTTTTTTTTTGAGACGGAGTCTCGCTCTGTCCCCCAGGCTGGAGTGCAGTGGCGCGATCTCGGCTCACTGCAAGCTCTTGCCTCCCGGGTTCACGCAATTCACGCTATGATCACATAGCTAACAAGTGATGTTCTTACCTATGAGACAAGCAGGTCCTCATTTTACAGATACAGACAGTGAGGTTTAGAAAATCATGGCCGTAATCCCACCTGTAATCCCAGCACTTTGGGAGGCTGAGCCGGGTGGATCAACAGGTCAGGAGTTCGAGACCAGCCTTACCAACATGGTGAAAACCCCCGTCTTCTTATTATAAAATACAAAAAAAATTAGCCGGGCATGGCAGTGCACACCTGCACCTGTAATCCCAGCTACTGAGGAGGCGGAGACAGGAGAATCACTTGAACCTAGGAGGCACAGGTCTGCAGTGAGCCAAGACTGCGCGCACTGTATTCCAGCTGGGCACAGAGCGAGACTCCATCTCAAAAAAAAAAAAAAAGAAAGAAAGAAGAAAATCATGTATGTGGGGCCGAGCGCGGTGGCTCTGCCTGTAATCCCAGAACTTTGGAGCTGAGGCCAGTGGGGGGGACACCTGAGTCAGGTGTTCCAGACCAGCCTGGCCAACATAGTGAAAACACCATCTCTACTAAAAATACAAAAAATTAGCCGGCGGTGGTGGGGGCCTCCTGCAATCCAGCTACTCAGGAGGCTGAGGCAGGAGAATCACTTGACCTGGGAGGCAGAGATTGCAGTGAGCTGAAAATTTGGGCCACTGACACTCCCAACCCTGGGCGACCTGTCCAAGACTCCTCATCAAACGAAAAAAAAAAAAAGAAAATCATCATGTGGGTCAGGTTGCAGTGGCTCACACGGCCTGTAATCCCGCACTTAGGAGGCCGAGCGTGCGGCCAGATCAACGAAGTCAGGGAGTTCAACGACCGAGCCTGACCAATATGGTGAACACTCCCCGTCTCTTCTAAAAATACAACAAATTAGCCAGGCGTGGTGGCACACCACCTGTAGTCCCAGCTACTTGGGAGGTTGAGGGAGAACAACCGCTTGAACCAGGGAGGTGGAGGTTGCAGTTGAGCCAAGATCACGCCACTGCAACTCCAGCCTGGGTGACAGAGTGAGACTCTGTCTCAAAAAAAAAAAAAAAAAAAAGAAAAAGAAAAAGAAAGGAAAATCATATATGTGGCCAGGCAAGGTGGCTCAAGCTTGTATTCCAACATTCTGGGAGGCCTGAGAGGCAGGAGATCACTGATGTTAGGAGTTTGAGACCGCAGCCTGAGCAACATAGTGAAACCCATTCTCTACTAAAATATTACAAAACAAAAAATATATGGTTTACAGATACAGCACACTAAGACTTTGGAATCATACCACATCTATTTGTACTTTGGAAAATTAACAGACGGATTCCCTTCCAACCACAGTAGTTTGAAGATTCAAAAAGGTCACATAG